TCCTGCTGACTCTCACAGCAGGGACTGAGCCTTTGCCTCAGGATGTTGGATTGATGGCTGGGGAGAATTATGTGCATGAAGAAACGCAAACCCTTTTCCCCTTCTTTCCTCTTCTCTAAATAAACCCAGTATGAGAAGCAGCCGTCATCTCAGGGCCTGTTCTCTCCACCCAACTGTTCCGCTGTCTGTGTAGGATGCTTGGGAGCACTGCCACCTGTCCGATAGCTTATACCAGGATTAAGGATAATTTCAAATCCATTTTCTATTGATCTACCTCCCCCCCCCCCACAAACAATATACCACAGTTTAGTTGGACCAGCCGCCATTTTAACGCAGTCCTCACACTCCCCCTGCCTCTCCTCTGCTTTGCAAATACAAAGATGCAATCAGGTCCCCAGTGGCTGACTTTTTGAGCCACGGCTTTGAAGCTCAGCATAACGTCTGTGTTTCCTTTTAATACCTCTGCAAAGATCTGTACTCCCCCCATCCCCTGTGATCTTCTCCCCAGCAGTGACGGGAGGGGTGGTGGCATGGCATTATGGCAGCTTTTCTGTTGCACTGTTTGAATTAAGAGGCGGTGATTTGGGAGACAGGTTATTGCGAGCCAGGCAGATTAATCTGCAGGGGGTCTGGGTCCCTGCTGGGATTTTCCTATCATGCTGATAGCCAGCTCCATTAATTTATTCAGCTCTGACAGCAAATTAGAAAGAGAGTAAGGAGCTTAGGGAAGGCATTCATCTCCATGTCCTAGTTATGAGTGGGCCCCTACTTCAACCAGCACTCATGTGCTGAGATAGGCCATGGTGATGGAGGAAGCTCTTGTCTAAAACACATTAGCTCAGGGGTGTATCTGGCTGCAGAACGGCACTGCTGACCTCTCCACATCACGTTCTTCCAGACAGAATCAGTAGCTATGAAATCAGAACCTCTCACAAAATCCTGGCTGCTAATGAATGAATCTCCATGTGCTCTGCATCAGTTGCTGCACCATCCTCTTTTTTTCCCCCCCTATTCCAACTGCTCCCACCAAAACCAGGCTCCATCCTCCTTGTTATCAGGCAATGGTTTCCTCTTCCACGCTCCCAGTCACTTGGACCCCTTTCCATAACTCAGATCCAGATGAAATCCCTCTCCTTCCACTTGGTTTCCTACTGGGTGGAGGGACCCAGCCAGGCAGGGAACCCAGGAGCATTGCTGTGCTTATCTGCTCCGCTGTGTGTCTGAACTGTCATCCAGAGGATTACGTGCATTGTCTATGTCTGTGCTAAGCTGTCAGGGCCAGTGCAATGCCTTATATGTTCTGCAGAGCTCCAGATACACTGTCAGCACTCACTGGTTGATAACAACCGGACACTTAACGTGGGTATGTGGGGCCCTCATGCCATTATTATTAGCACCAAAAAGTGGCGCTGGGTACCCTGAACTGGGTCATCACAATAAATCACCGGACCCCACAGGCTTGAATCTTCACTCGTTAGTCCACAAAGTGGCAAAGAGCAGAATTAGTCCTCAGGGTACTGCCCCCAGAAGAACTAAACTGATAACACAGCCAGATATTCCCAGGCTATGTTTAGGGCCACTATATACACACAGTCCATTTCAGCCCCCCTTGCCATCCCCTTAATCCCTTTCAGGCTCATGTTAGAAGGTTTCTATCCTCCAGTTAAGCACATAAAGACAGTCTAATGCAGAGGAGACTGAGCCTTTTGTGTGTCTGATGGAATCCGTGGGGACTGAAGCAGGGCCAGGAAGTCTGAGGCTCTCACTGGAGTCTCTGCACTGAAACTGGGGGAATCTAGTGAGGGACTGGATCTGACGTGCTCAGCCCAGGAGCAAAGCAACCAACCCAGGGTCTCAAAGGACAGCAGGCATGAGCCGGCTTGCATGTATACATCTCCAGCTGGAGCCTGTCTGGGTGTGGGGGTGAGATGTATTTAGCTGTGCTAGTCTGAAGTAAAAAAGAAGGCAAAGTAGATGTGCACCTTATAGACTAACCAAAGGGTGCCAGTTCCTGCACTACTCTCCTGGTAGGGTATGTCTGAGGTCAGTTAGCAGAATGCAGGTGTTGCGAGAGTCTCTCAAACAGCATATCCCAATCTCTTGTGTTGCTCTTTACTTTGTTAGGCCTCTTACGTTATTCTGAGAGTTGTATATCCCTGGTATTATGTGCAGGGGGGGCGGGGAAGGGAGGGTGAGACTCTCAGCATTCATATGCCTGCTAGTGGGGGAGTGAGCCTAGTTACAAGCCTTCCTGGTAACATCCATTTCTACCTCCATGTTAGTGTTAGCATATTATTATGCTCATTATTTTATTGCTGTGATAGCACAGGCATGCCTTCATTTATGATTGCTGTTAACCTTCGCGTCCCTCTGTCTGCAGATGGGCATTACTGTTTCTTTGGCCACAACTGTGTGCACACCTGGACAGTTGACTGTTTGGCCTATGGTGCTTTGTATCTTCATTGTTGCCTGGGTATAAGCAATCTATTTGAGTGGGAGAGCTTTTCACCTGTGTCTGCAGGCTTGTGTCTGGGCACAGCTCTGTGGTACCGTGGCTGGGTTCCGTGGCCAGGTTCTAAACAAACCAGCACTTGTTTCCCATGCCCCATCCCATTCCTACCTTTCCTTTTCCTTTCCTCATCCTTTCTTTCCAGCTGCCTTTTGAAAACTTTGGCAAATCAGAGAAACAAGAGCTTTTAGGGACCTAGACATTGCTACAGAGATAGGGAATGTACAGGGGAAGCAGGATGAGAGAGAAAGAGGGAGTTGTCTAGCTTGGCAGCTAAAAGCCTCACCTGATTTCCCCTCTGGGATCTGACAAGGGGAAGGAGAAACAAGGGGAAGGAGAGAACAGAGGTTATTGCC